CCACCATAACCACCACCACCACCACCATGATGACCACCACCACCATGATGATCACCACCACCACTACCATGATGACCACCACCATCACCACCACCGGCACCATGATGACCACCACCATCACCACCACCATCGCTGTGATGACCACCACCATCACTGCCACTACTACCATGATGGTCACTACTATAACCACCACCACCATGATGACCACTACCACCATTTTCATCACCATCAGCAGCATCATTATCAGTAGCAGCATCTCTTATATGCTGGATACTAGTATAAGCTATAATTAGAGATATTGATTGTCATTAAATACAATGACTATCAAGGTAATTGTCTTTGTCACCATTTCACAGATGAGAAAACTGAGCCTCAAAAAGGCAAATTATTTACAAAAGTTCATCAGCAAGTAAGTGGCAGAACTCTGGCTCAAGCCCGGTTTTATCTGATTCCAAAGCTGGTGCTATCTTCAGAATACCCACCCTCTTTCTCTAATTCTTCTTGCTCAGTGCCATGCCAATATTGCACATACCATAGAATACACCACATTAGGAAGCAGAGGAGCAGGTGTTGGAGCTTGAAAAAAAAGACGTTTCAAAAAAATGTGCTTTCCTGCATGTAGCTATCACAAGTATTACTTCATTGGCTATTGCACTCCTTGAGAAACAAAGAGCTTGATGGCATGATAAGAATCAGCCTGGCTTCTCAGCTCAGTGTGGCTCTCAGAAGGTAGCTCCAGGACACTGGCCATGCCATCTGAAAGCCCTATCCACAGAACCTCAGGAAGGCAAGATGCCACCTTGCAGAGTACAGCTTATTTGAAAGATTCATCCGCCCTGTGCCGTACCCCCCACTCTGGGGATGCTGACTTGGCTTGCCCTCCCCGCAAGGTACGAAGGCCATCAGTAACTTTCCCCAGGCTCAGCACTTTTTCCGACTCTGGCTCTTTCAGCTGAGGCTGCAATGTTAAACATGTAGTTTTGTAAATTAATTCTTTGAAGATTCACTCTTGTCAGCTAACTTTCCTCACTGCAATAAGCCGAGGAAGTCACTTACGAGCAACTGAATTTTCCACTTTCATGTCCTCCCAAGCCTTTTTAATTTAAAACAGTGTTCCAAAACCGCTATTCAGCAAAATTTACCAGTTATATACAGGAATCTCAAAAATGGTCACTTAAAATTAATGGGGAACGTGATAATCCCATCTTGGCCTTGGATAAAAAAAAGTGTCTGGGTACGTCATATGGGGTAAGAAAGGAGGCGGAAGAAGAATAAGCCTGCAGCCAGCATTTGACTTAAAAACAATCCCAGTTTTTCAGTTTCATTCCCTCTCCAGCCCCAATTCAGCAGTCATTTGTGCCATCAACAGACTGTGCCAAGCTCAAGGTAAGTGTTGCTACAGGTGAGATCTTAGCAGAATGAGCCACAGCCTCTGCCTTCCAAGAGTTCACAGTTGAATAGGGTAAGGACACACGATCCACCATGGGGCAGAGCAGACAGTCCTCAGAGGTGCGGGGGTCCTGGGAGCAGCTCTGGGCTGGGAGGCCTGAGTCTTGGGTTTTGGTTCTGACTCCATCCCTAATTTGCTTCATAAATTTGGACAAGTCGTTTCCCTTTTCTAACTCTCAACTTATTCATCTAGTAAAACAAAAAAAAAAGGTAGAACCAGATGATAACTAGATTCTTTCTAACTCTAGTTTTCTAAGACTTAAGAATAGCAAAATGTTCCAGCAGAAATGAGGAGAGTGGTTCTCATTGGATTGATCTGGGAAAGTGCCGGGAAGGTAGCAATCATGAGCTGGTCTTTGAGGAACGCTTTAGAATTGATGGATCTGGAGATAAAGGGTTGGGAGACATTCTTGTCAGAGGAAATAGATAACCACCCCTGCTCTGCTGAAGAGGAGGGGAAGGGAAAGTAGAGAGGTAGGGGAAGAAGTAACACTACCTAAAACAACAACAACAACAATATCTGCATAGTCCTTTATAGTTTACAGAGCAGTTCCACGTACATTGGCTCATTTAACTCTCAGAACAAAACTAGGAGTCAGGGATTGGCATGTTAGCCCACCTTACAGACTCAGAGTTGATCACACATCTAGTAATCGAGCCCTGATTGACAGCAAGCCTCACATCACACAACCATGATCACAAGCTCAGTATGCTGCCACCACGTGATAGAGTGTTCAAAGGACTCTGCACCTGGATGCGTGCCCTCACCTAGGTTAATGGATAACAAGCTCTCCAGAGGCAATGAAGGAGAATCCTGCTGTGCTCTGTTCTGACCACCTCAGGACCACCGCTTTTAGTTCTGGGTCCCACACTTCATAAGGGAAATTGCCCAAGTGGTACATTTCAGACGATGGTGAGAATTCTTAAAGCCAAGTAATATTGGGTGCAATTGAGGAATCTTGGGTCATTCGCTTGGAGAAGGGGGGATATAGTGGGTACATAGTGTTGTTTCAGAATTATCTGAAGCCAGAGTCCCATCTGGAGACAGACGGCTTCATCAAATTAGATTAATCGAGGAGGATTTGTTATTTGCAATGGTATAGGTGTAGAGGAACCCAAAGGATCCAGCTGGAAGCAGGGGTGTTGTCCTGCTTAGACTCGAGGAAGTAGAGAGGAAGTGGTTACTGAAACCTGAAGAAAGTGACGCAGAGAGAAGGTCTCCTTGAAAGAAACAATGACAATAATTTGGACAGTAAGGACAATATCAATCAGAGGCAACCCCACGAGTAACAGCCTAGGGAATATAAACATCGGAACTCATTGTCCTCTCTCCTTTCAATCTCCTGCCAGGACACCCCAATGGCCAAATCCAACCAGAAGTCAGAGCACACAGGACCCCACGGATGAAGTTCTGTTGAATTCCATGCAGGTCAGCTTCCCAGGGCAGACGGCAGAGTAAACAAGGGTGAAGGCAGGGCCTGGAGGGGCAAATGGAAGACATCAGACACGGCCGTCCTGTGTATGATTCAGACACGGGTGTGAGCCCATAGGGTAGTGGAGAGGGGGTAGAAAGAATTAGAGCCAAGAGGCATTACAAAGAAATGAATTTTAGCTAAATTAAAAAAAAAAAAGGAAGAAATTAACAGTCAAAGAGAGCTGAACTAGGAAGGAATGAATGTGCATAAAGGATACTGAGCTTAAGCCCGCTACCTGAGGGTTACTGCAGATATTCAAGAAGACCACGAAGAACATGATTGCCTTTCGACCTTGTTCCCAACACAGACGTGGATGAATCTGGTCAATTTGCTGTTTTCTTGTTTAACTTGAGGGGTGACTCAGGTCTCGAGGATTTGTGAGTTTGTTTTGCAGAAGAAAGAGAATGCCTTTAATGAGGATGGCCAGCCCCCCGGGGGCCATTGCAGATTGCCCAGGGGCTTATCAGAAGTGATTCCTTTGTTTCTCCAAAGCTCCTCCTGCCAAGCCTCTTAGGTCTATAAAACCCCCTGTTTTCTGCTCTTATTAAGACAGATTTGACTGAACCCATGCTCCCAACTTCTCCTTTGGACCAGTTTAAATGAATCTTTCTGCATCTTCAAGCACCCATGTCTCAGTGTTTGGCTTACTGCGCATCGGGCACACGAATTTGAGATTAAGAGGTTCAGTATCAAGCTCCCACCGTTGAACCACAAGCCAAGGTTAGAAGACCTGTGAGTCATGAATGCTCAAGAGGAAATCCAATGTTAAATTGGATTAAATGACTTATAAAGTTTCTTCTACCTCTGACATTCCAACATTTTATAAAAAGGCGATGAAAAGTAAAATAATAGAGGGTTTTTTTTTTTAATTAAGCAATCTTTCTCCTTGGTCTCCTCCCAAAGTACCTGCATTCACTGTACCTGGAAGAGAACAGAAGATGCTTATAGATTAAAAATGTCACCAGAGTTAAAGTTCTGATTAGGCAGAATTTTGAAGTCACTTGAGTTTTTTTAACAAATCTTCTGCCATGTTTATTGTGACAATAAGATGACCTTGACAAGGAAAGGGAATGTTATTTTCTGGTCCAAACAACTTCAGAAGATCACGTCATCATCTCAAGAAGTGTCAACCCTTTGCTCACAAAATTTTGATCCATGATTTCCCCACAGTCTCTCCAAAGTGGGATAGCAAATTACAAATAAGGGAGTATCTGATAGGTAATTTGCAAACTTTATTTACCTTTAAGTTTTTTCTCTCTTGTTTACCAAATAATATTGTTAATAAGTTTCCCCCTTTCATTTACCCAGAGTTACACTGTGATCTCTCTCAAGGTTAATTAAAATCTAGATTTGCAGATGCTTCCATTTCCTAAATTTCCAAACAAATGCTTTAGAGAAGTTTAGCAATTGCATAATTACCCATAATGTATTTTATATACTAGAGGCATTTCATGTGGGCTTTGTCTTAAGTGAGTAATAGCAATGTTGTTTTGAGCGAATAATAGTTCAGTTAACTCCATTGTTACTAAGTAATTTACACTTACTTGGAAAACTAAGAGGGTCATTTGGAAATATGTGCATTGAAATCTGCCATACTTTGGTTACACAATATGCTTTTCATTATTTCACAGTGTCGTGAAGAATGGAACTAATAGAGCTGATATTTCATGGTGTAGGGTGCAGACTAGCAGTTTGATGTAATGTTTCAGCTTGCAATTCTTTTTATACAAGAAACAGATTAATCTGTTCAATTGGAGGAAAGGACCACCCAAGGTTTAACTGCACAGGTGAGGTTCAAAAACTGACTCACCACGATTCTCTCCCAGAATTAATGTAACCCATTGGCCCGTCTCCAAAACAAGCACGACAGAGCCATAGGTCGATGGATTCAATTCCTCTTCCAGGAAAACCATGAATTAATTCAGTTATGCTCAGTAAGCCAAAACATTGCAGCCATTAGGGAATCTTTTAGGAGCTATGGTTTTGATTTCTTTGTTCCTACATGGTCAGTAGTAAGTGGAAGACTTGATCCTGTGATGGGTCCATGTTACAGCACATTAGCAAGAGCTGTTCATGCACAGGCACGCCCCGTGAGAGAGGCAAAATGAACCCAGTGTGCCTGGAACAATCATCAAATTCCCATCAATTCTCAATACTAGAATTTCACACAATCACCAAGAAATCCTTGTCACCCACATAATCTCTACTTTCACTCCAGTGTGAGCCTTTTGAGTCCTAAACCATACGGGGAACACCTATCTCTTCTCTGCATTCATTCAGCAAAATCCACCTTCATTCACACTTTTGTTCAGACATCATTTAGAGATCCTCCCTCACAGGACTTTGCCTGCACTGCGCAGGAGGCTTTCACAGACCAGATCTCATCTCCTCCACACACCAAATCTGCCACGCATGTATGTCATTCCTGGTTTTAGCACTATTTTTCATATCTTCACTCCCTTCCAGCGATGCTAGTCCATGTGCTTGCAGGTGCAGATAAGGAAAACAAACTCAGAGCGGGCAATGGGCTTGCCCACATCACCTGGCATCTTAGTCTGTTCAGGCTGCTATAACAAAATATCATAGACTGGGTGGCTTAACAACAGACGTTTATTTCTCACAGTTCTGGAGGCTGGAATTTCAGGGTCAAGATGCTGGCAGATTCAATGTCTGATGCGAGCCTGCTTCCTGGTTAATAGATGACCGTCTTTTTGCTGTGTCCTCACACAAAGAGAGGAGGGAGTTCTCTGGGGTCTCCTTTATAAGAACACTCATCCCTTTCATGAGGACTCTACCCTCATAACCTAATCACCTTCCAAAGGCCCACCTACAAATACTATTACATTGGGGATTAGGTTTCAACGTATGAATTGGGGGGGGGACACATTCAATCTACTGCAGCTGGTTAGTAAGTCATATAGTCAAAGCAGGATTCCTGGTCTGTCTGACTGCAAATTCCATGCTGTTTCTACTGCACCAAACTATTTCAGACACTGTAGTCTCCCCACCACTGTAGCATCATCCATTTTTTCATGTGCTCTAGCAATAATATTATAGGAAATATATCCTGGACACTGTCCAGCACACACACACATACAAATGGCTAGTACTCATTGAGCACTTACCGTACGCTGGACATTGTTCTAAGTGCTTTACAGGTTGTTTACACATCATTCAACCCTCACAACAACCATGAGGAAAGTTACTAGTATTATCCTCATTCACCAGATGAGAAAACTGAGGCACAGAGGGGTTAAGTAACTTCCCCAAGGTCACATAGCTAAGAAGTAGCAAAGTTGAGATTCAAACCCAGGTAGTCTGGCTCCAGAGTCTGTGCTTTTCCCCTCTACACTACCCTGATTCAAGAGTTTCTCCATCAACATAAGGGGCCTTTATTTATTGGCATAAGCATTTATTAAATGCCTCCTGTATACCAGCATTGAACAGGTCCTGGGCACCCAAGAGTCAATGAGACATGTGGTCCTTACTGTGCTAGAATTTATAGCCTAGTGGGCGAGACAGATATTAAACAACTAAGAGTTATTAAGGAAAATATACAGTGAGAAAAAATGATCATGCAGAGGTGGGGACGAGATCATTTTTAGACTGAGTGGTCAGCAAATGCTTCCTGGATCTGACATGATGTGACTCAGCACTTCTGAGAAACATAACTGATAGATGGGAAGGAAACAGATTCTCCCTCCACAGCTCACGTGCTCAGCCTGCATCTGTATCTCAACTTGGACCCTTGAATGAGTTACTTAACTCCATTGAGATACCATTTTCTCATCTACAAGAGGGAAGTAATAATAATAATAACTTCCTAGGCTGCTGTGATCATTAGAACATAGAGAAAGCACCTTGCAGAGTCCTTCATGCACAGTAGATACTGAACAAAGGTTTGTCCTTGCCTTTCTCTCTTCTCGTCAGCCTCATCAGCCAACCAGTGCTTGGGCCCTGGTGTCAACGGGGGCAGCTGTCACTGGGAGTATTACAGCTCAGCCACCCTCACACCCAAACCTTCTCAGCCAGGCACATAACTTGCTCAATAAGTCTCCAAAATAAAAGAAATCCGAGTGTCAGCTGCGAAACCAGCACCATGAAGGCTGTGTGGGCCAAACGAAGCCAGCTACTTTCACTGTCTGCCCTCAAGTACTGTGTCAGTCAGAATAAGCTTGGTCCTGCTACAATAACAAGGAAAAATGTCCCAAATGCCCAGAGATATAAAACAACAAAGCTTTCTTTCTTGCTTATGCTACATGTCCCCACGGCCAACTGGGAGACTCCGTTGTTTGTCACCCTCCTTCAGGAACCCAGGCTGAGAGAAGCCCCATTCCCTCTTTCTATGATGGCTGAGACTGGGCAAAGCAAAATGGCAAACCCAATGCTGGTGCTTGAGACTTCTGCTCAGACACGACACATGTCACTTCTGCCCACATTTTATTGTCCATGACAAGTCATATGGCCAGATCTAATTTCAAGGGTCCAGGGAAGTACAACCCTACCAAGTGCCTGGAAGAACAAGAAATAGTCTGTGAACAGCTCCAATGACCCCCACAAGGAGTTTATAAAGATACTGTACATGTGCCCGGAGAGGAGAGATCCCACATGTCTGTTCCCAGAAGGTTCTCTTCCAGGAAGGCTGGGAGGAAACTGCTCCCTTCCAAGCACTGTCAGTGTGGCTGCCCAGCAGGCTCTCTTCCCTTCTGAGAAAGCGCCTCAGCATCATCCAGAGCTTCCCAAATATTTCCACTGAAATAGCCTGGCTGGCAAGGAAGGCAGAACTCGTACCTCTGTGCATTTGAGCACCAAAGAGACCTCCCACTGGTGTGGAATTTCTTTTTTTGTTTTTTGGAGTTTTTGGGTTTTTTTGCAAGGAAAGATTCTCCCTGAGCTAACATCTGTTGCCAATCTTTCATTTGTTTTGTTTTTTCTCCCCAAAGCCCAAGTGCATTGTTGTATATCCTAGTTGTAAGTTCTTCTAGTTCTTCCATGTAAGCCACTGTCACAGCATGGCAAGTGACAGGTCAGTGGTGTGGTTCCATGACCAGGAACCCAACCTGGGCCGCCAAAGTGGTGACAGCACCAAACTTTAACCGATAGGCCATCAGGGCTGGCTCGGTGTGCAATTTCTTTGAAGCCTTGTGTTTTATCCTAGAAGTTCATGTGAGTTTTGCATCTTAGTCCATTGCATATTACTGTGTGTGTTTTTTGTTTTTTGTTTTTTTAAAGATTTTATTTATTTTTATTTTTTCCCCCCAAAGGCCCAGTAGATTGTTGTATGTCATAGCTGCACATCCTTCTAGTTGCTGTATGTGGGACGCGGCCTCAGCATGGCCGGAGAAGCGGTGCGTCAGTGCACGCCCGGGATCTGAACCCAGGCCGCCAGCAGCAGAGCGCACGCACTTAATTGCTAAGCCACGGGGCCAGCCCTCACTGTGTGTTTTAATATCAAAATTAATGCTTATAGAAGGTGTGCAGTTCTTATCCCCTGGTTTTGCATTGCCACTAACCCATCACCTCATGCTCCTGGAAAAACTCAGTAACAGATCCCTGACATTCCAAAAAATTATTCTTGAAATTTTCGCAAATTGCCTAAACCTCTAAACCATCACTTTCTCACATAGATCACTTTTCTTTTTCTGGATAAAAATACTATCTACCATTTACTGAGAACCTTTAGTGCCAACCACTTGGCCTGCATTAGCTCATTCCATGCTCATAACAGTTCTCTGAGAAAGGTACAGCATGACCGTGGTGTTCACTCATGATGGGAAGTAGAGGCTCAGGAAGGTCAATGACTTGTCAGAGCCACGTAGTAAGCGGCCAAGAAGGAATGTGAACCCAGTTCTGAACATCTCTGAACCCCACCCCCCAGCCTTTTTCCACTATAATCAAATTCCCTCTTAGCTTCAGCTAAGAAATTAACCTCAGATCTCCATCAATATAAAAGAGAATCTGCAATACAATTGCATTTCCTTCCATCTTTAGCGCCTGATCTTGGCTTGCTCTCTTTCAGGAACAAACTTCATCAAGAACCAACGCTTTACTACTTTGCAAGCAGCACTATGAAGTGCCATTGAAATGCAGGGGCTAGATAGCGATGGGCCTGCCATCAACCCGCTAAGCAACTCATTGTCATGCATCAGTATCACGCTACTGGGACTCAAATTCACACCATGGGAAAACACAAACTACTTTGTAGCATGGATCTTTGGAGTGTCTGGTGATAAGTCCAACAGGGATTATAACAGACACAAAGAAGAGCAGGCACCCACTGCCTGGTCAGGATGATGGGAGGCTAGGACCAACAGGAAGGAGATAAACAGTGGGTGTAGGTGCGGTGCAGTTTTCCTGATGGGCTCACAGCAGCACCTCGAGGCTCCAAAGGGCCTTTGCTGATCAACCTCGTGTCAGTTAACAGGGACCCTGGGGGCAGTTCGGCCAGACTCCCCTGGAGGGGAAAACACCCACAGGAGGTCAGCTCTCCCTGTCAGTTCTGCTTCCACAGACAGACAGCCTTTCTGATCATCATTCTGCCAAGTGGCGGAGCCACTACATCCTACATTTTTTAAGAGATGGATCAAAAACGACATTATAAACCTAAAAGCAATGGCTGTTATAAAAAAAGAAAGAAAAATAGATTCATCAGTGAAAAATTGTAAATCCCTGTATGTCAAAAAAACACCCTCCTCAAACAAAATGAAAAGGCAAATGACAACCTAAAGGGAAAAAAATTTGTTGTTTAGATGATAATGTGTCAATGACATTAACACAGGGTAATTCACACAAATCGATGTAAAATGCGTATCTTTTTTAAGAAAAAAGACATTCATAGAAGAACTATAAATGGTCAATAAGCATTTCTAAAATGTTTATCCTTTCTGGTAACCAGGAATACAAATTAAAATAAGGTACCATTTTTTGCCTAATTGATCTTTTTCCTCTTTTTAAGAGGATACTTAGTGCTCTTGCAAGTGCCACAATGCAGGCCCTTCCCCACAGGACCAGGAGAGAGTGAATTCCAGGAAAGCCATTTAGCAATGCGTATTGAAAGCCCTACAAACACTATCTCCTTTGATCCAGTAATTCACTTCTGGGAATCTGTCCTAGGAAAATCATCAGAACTGTGGATAAAGATTTATATTCCGGAATTTTCAATATAATGTTATTTGTAATAACCAAAAACAAAAAAAGAAAGAAATGGAAGCAACCTAAACAGCAAAAAATAAACAAATAAAAGGTAGGTGAGGTTAAGTAAAATATGAGGGGGAGATACGATAGAGTAGGAAAAGATACCATATTTTCTGGCTGGCCTAGTGGCGTAGTGGTTAGGTTTATGCACTCCGCTCCAGTGGTCCAGAGTTCGCAAGTTCAGATCCTGGGCGTGGACCTACACACTGCTCAACAAGCCATTTGTATGTGGGCGTCCCACATACAAAATAGAGTAAGGTGGGACAGATGTTAGCTCATGGCCAATCGCTGTCACACACACACAAAAAAAAATACCACATTTTCAAGAATTATTTGATGACTTGGGGAAATGTTCATAATATAATGTCAATTAAAAAGGCAGACTCTGATATCATTCTTTTAAAGGAAAATACGACACAAACATGCATACACACAGTCATAGACACTCATATGCTCATAAAACAGGAGGAAACATACTAAAATGTTGACAATGATTATCTCTGGATGGTACGTTACAGATGATTTATTTCTTTCTGTAGAGTTTTCTATTTTTCCCCAATTTTCCAAACTAATATATATAATATATGAATGTATCATATATTTATACATTTTTATAATTTAAAAAATTTTTTTGAAAACAGAATGTGATAGTTTGAGAACTTTGCCACAATGATTCCCTCCCTGCATCCATGCCCTTGGGCAGTGACTTACCACACTGATTCCCAGCTTAGCCATGTAACTTGGCCATGGGATGTTAGCCACTGTGATGCAAACAGAGGCTTGAAAAGCACTTACACACTGGAGCTTGTCGTAACTTTCTGCTTTTCCAGCATGAGTTAGTCTGTTGGACACTGAGAGACACCTGGTCCACTTACCACCATTGCCCAGTCACAAGAAGCTAGCCTCCAGACAGAGGCTTTCTAGCCAGCCAGCAGCTGACCACAGATGCATGAGTGAGCCCAGCCACCATCGGCAGAAAAACCACCCAGCTGAGCCCAGCCCAAATTGCCAACCCACAGAATCATCAAATAAATAAATCGTTGTTGTTTTAATCCACTAAGATTTGGAGTGGTTTGTTATGCAACAAAAACTAAACGACATAGGAAAAAATGTACTCTGGTAGTAAAGTGGAAAAATCCTGGGTTTCTCCACTGGGTACATTATCTGATCTCTCTGTGACTCCATTTTCTTGTCTAGAACATGGGACTAATACCACCCGATTCACTGGGTAGTTGTGAGAATGAAATGAGTATGTACATGAGAGCAGCTGACATAGAGGAAGGCTAAATAAATACGAGATTTATCTGAATTACTATCAATTGTTAGGAATTGTTAAGAAGAAAGAAGTATTTAGTAACATGAAGAATAGATGAATCAGGATATATCCAGCTCCACAGCTGAGGAGTGGGTGAAAAATATTATTTTAGTAGTCAGAGGATTTCATCACCACGAGCAATGGACAAAGCCTTGGGCTGAAATTTGGAAGCATGAGTTTTACATCCTAACTCTTCCATTGACTAGGAATTAGAAAAAGGATGCTTTTTCTATCACAATTAATTCCTAAGTGGTGGTCCCTCATGTCTGAGCCAATTGTAAAAAAGCAAAGGACGAAGTCTAGGCAAGGTTATTTCAGATCTAAAGCTTGAAGTCAGTCTCCTTACCTGACATTTATAAATTGGTGTCAACTTCTCCTGCCACTCACAGTCCACCCCACCCCATAGGCTCAGCACTCAAGCCAAGTAAAGCAGCTTGCTACTCTCGAGACAGAGTACGTGGCTGTGGTACCCTGCTATGCGGCTCTTCTGCTTGGAATTTCTTTTCCCACAATCGAACTCCTACTCATCCTTCAAGACCTACCACAGGAAGATTCCTCTGAGCCCCCAGACAAAAGTATCTCCTTCCCTTGTGTTCCCACGGCTATTTATCTTAGGTCAGGTTTTCTAGAAGCAGAGGCCAAAATAGGGATCCTTGTGCAAGTGTTTTATTAAGGGAGGGTTCTCAGGAGGACCCTTAAGGAGAAGAGGGAAGCAGGGTAGTGCAGTGGAAAAAGCTAAGCAAAGATGTGGGTTCAGCTGAAGTCTATGTGGAATGTAAGTGAAACCACAGAGTTGTCCCATCTTGAGTCAAGGGGTCTATCTGTCTTCTGTATCCCCATATCAGTCAACCAATGGCTGGAAGCCATCCTCAGAGGGAGGACATAACCTTCCAAGCATTTCCAGGGCAGCATCCATTATCCAAGGCAATTCTCAAGAGAAGGGAGTAGCCATAGCCGAGAGTGAGCTATCAGGTAAAAGGGATCTAGAAGAG